TTCGTCCTTAGCCAACGACAATTGAAGTTAAGGCGAGTTATGAACAAATCGATCCTATCCTCTATAATGCTCATCATTCTTTGTAATCTCAAACGACAGTTTAGGGTGTTAGATTTATTGATGAAGTGGTTGATGCCACGACAGTGGATCCTCCTATTTTTATGATGAAGTTCTAGATTGGTCCTTAATTGATATCCTGAATAATTGCTTGGTTCTAGATGATCTAATCCCTAAGATATTTTCCCTTAGCCTAACGTCTTTATTATCATTTGTTTAAACCGAATTTACATAATTGCTTGCTATTAGTGACAACTTAAAATCAACTTGATCGCTTAGCTGAAATTGTATCCCAAAAGATTAGAGTGTATTGCTGGTCCTTTTGAACGAACCTAATTATTCTACATCGGATTAGTGATTCTATGTTTGACTCATAAACCGGGAAAAACCCTTTCATCAGTGCTACATGATTATGCTATTCTTGTGCTTCTTCAGGACTGTATAAACCTATAAAAAAAATAGTGATGTTAGGTCATGAAGATGAGAACAAAACATCGTCATAGATACAATCCATGATTACATCAACCAAACGAACAAAAGAAAAAAATAGCAGTAAAAAACTATAAAATAAATCGAAGAACAACTAATATTAACCTATAAAAAAAGTGAGGCGATTCTAGAATTTATGAGCAAGAGAGGAATATGGCCGAGATATATATATAGCTTCTCATACACCAAACACGACAAATACAATTTGATAGAAATCAAAAACGATAAAACTCATACCTCGATAACCATACGAACCTGCAACAAAACCCTAACAAAAAAACATCGTATATTACGACTGCCCACCGATGTGCACCGCCATGTGTTATGCCTGTAATACATATAATCGCCATAATTCTCACTTTGATAACATACCTCGTCGATCGGAGAGCTGAAACACAAAAACCTTCAAAACGTAACAACATCCAATCAATAACAAAACAAATAGATAATCATAAGCGTATGATTTGTTGTAAAAGAGCAAAGACAATGATTTGTTTAGGTGATGAAACCAAGACAAATATTATATGAGCATACATTAAGATACAAATACAAAAAAAATTCATAAGAATAAAGATAGAAACAATCAGAAACCGTAATCGATAATAAGAAAACTAACATAAAATCGCAAAATTTAATACGATAAACCTGTGAAAATAAGAAGAACAAAGAACATCAGAAAACTCGTTAAAAAAAAATCAGAAACATAATAACATAATAATATATCATTAACAAATCATCAAAACTCGTTAGAACCTATTAGATTAGAAACATATGAATGCAAAAAAACGAAAGAAAAACAACTAATGTTAAACCTAAAAAAAAGCAACTAACAAATTTATGGTAAAAATGTAGATTTATATATAAACTAAAACATCTAGGGTTTTGTCAATGAAAAATTATTTGTGGGCCGACAGAAATACCAAACCCAAACACATTAATTTTTATTCAACAAATTTATACTATTTTAATTAAAAAATAATCGGTGGCAAAGACATATAATTAAGGTGCTCATAATCAACCACTTTCAAATCGATGGGAGGGTGCTACGTAGAATTTTTTACTTCATATATAAAAGAATAGATTCGTAACTCGCATGAGTCATGACCATGCACGTTCGCATGCAATGCGTTAATTTATACGTATATTTTAGTTGACTAAAACATTCATTTATAAATGTATTATTCCATCACAAATATTATACAAACCATAAACACACAAAGGAATCACCATATACTGATAGATGATGATCATTTATTGAAATTATTATAGAAACACACACGTCCTCTATATGGACAAGTTTTATTATTCGTCTGTGTAATGTACATATACTTAGTAAGGCCAACGACCCCTGATATTACCTGGAGGATCATAGCTACAAATGACAAAGGTTCCACCATTGTCACACCTGACTTTGGTACACCGAGTTTCTCCACACAACCTGAGTGTAGTGCTTACAGGTTTTTCCGGCGCGACATGTGTTCGAATCATAGAAGTAGTCAGGCTTCTGGCTGACCCAAGCCCTCACTGCAGCAGCTCCGGAGATATCACCATTGCTCCGTGCCAAGTTTTTTCACCGTAACGCCCACCTGGTTCGATCAGACGGCAGTCCCGTCTTTGCCTCGCATAGTTCCAGGCGTAGTCCGCAAGATCTTTGTGCCATCTTATTGGAGCCACATGAACAGCGTCACGAGCCCGGTTGTGTACATCGAGGTAGTCTTGTTGCGAGTCTTGGGCTTTTAGAGGAGCTGCAAAAGCTAGGACAAGAGCTATAGTGACTAATATTGGGGTTTGAAAAGAGTGAAACATCTTCATTTTTTCTTAGTTTTTCTATGAACCTTTTTTTTTACTTTTTGTGTTTGAGGTTAGAAACGACGATTTATGTTAACCGTGGCCGAAAAAAAAAAAATATATAGAGTTAACCGTGGAGTTATTTTTTGCCGAGCAAATACACTTTAGTCATATTTATTTGTAATTTGTTTTACCAAGTCAATTAGGCGAAGGAGTGAGAGAGCCTTACATATGTCGTAATTTTTTTTTTTTTTCAAATTGTAAATAAATTTAAAGCAAGGATTTGACTGAAACGATTTTTGAAGTTTTAAAACTGCAAGACAGTTACTTTAAAACTTTTTATAAAAATTTGTATCTTATCCTCTAATTATTAATAGAGGAGACGCTGTGTGAAAATCTTAAATATCATCCAAAAAGGATTTTAAAATTTTTTTAATGAAAGCTATAAAAACTTCTTAATGACATTATTGT